CAAGCAGCTTATCAACTTCTTCGCTGACTGCATCGTTGATTGCGGCGTTGAACTTTCTCCTCATTTGCCGCACAGGTGGGTAGAGGGGGTCAACATTCAGTTTATGCGTGGCGATGTCTTTCGGGATGCCTGGCATATCTGAATGGGAGAAGGCAAACAAATCGGCACTGTCAGTTAAGAATTTATGGAACTTACCTGGTTCTCAGAGATTTTGCCCAATATAAGTTTTTTTGTGCTGTCATTGTTGTCCAGTTGGACGGGATCGAGGTCTTCTATGGTCGACTCGGAGGCCTTTATGATGTCGGGATCCTTGATAGCGTCTATCTGTACGTCGAGTTTGGTTCCCGACATCGCTGATTGCTATGCTTCCGCACTTGCTCCTTTTAGCTGTTGGGTATGTGCGCAATCCTGGGCGATGCGATAGCACTCTTGTGCGGTGCGTTGTTCGCCTCGGATGCTGAATATCCCCCATGGAGTGGGAAACTTGATTACTTGATAGAGACTTGACGGGACTACTTGCATGGCGTGTATCCATGGGCGCCCTATGATAGCGTTGTAGGCTGTATCTTGATCCATGACGTGAAACGTCGTTTCCAAGGTGACTCCTCCGGCTAGGACGGGCAGCACTATCTCTCCAGAAGTTCGTTCGACTGCATTATTAAAACCCGTTACTGTTATGCAATGCGGTATTATTTTATCGTCGAGTCTTATTTGTACGAGGACTCGAGGATGGATAATACACGCGCCGCTTCCGTCATCAACCATTATTCTTTTTACATCAGTATCTGCAATTCGTAAAGTGATAACAAGAGCATCGTAGTGAGGGAAAGACAAACCGTCGGTATCTGATTTATCGAAGATGATACTATCTTCGAGATCATCATACTGTTCATGAGTGATCGACCGTTTGAGTTTGTGCGTAGTGGTGAACTTTACGTGGTTGACTGCTGTGTCGTCGCCTCCACCGATGATCATTTGTATGGTACGAGCGGGAGAAGGCGATTTGGGGGTCCTTGGGGTTGTTCGCGTCCGCGAGCAAAGTTAGCTCGTCCCCGGTCGCTCAGTAGTTCTTTCAGGTGTCCCTGATTTAGCATTCTTACTACCTCCTACCGCAGACCTATGAAATCCTCGGTTTTATGACCCATTTCCTGGTGGAATTCGCAGAGAACATTCGACTTCCGGGTGCTCGGGTCGAATTTCATCTTTTGCGGCCATTGCACCTTTGGACCGAGCTTCTCTAGTGCGTACACTATTTCTGAAGGAGAAACACAAAAATTGTGAGCAGATAAGAGCGGAGGCATACCTCTTTCGTTTCGGTGTGGCGCGGTATGTCGAGGTGGGACATCTGTGTGCCGCGGAGGAGGTGGGATGGGTGCTCTGATGTTGGGCTGATGTCTTTCTCGGCTGAGACGGGGTAGCTGGTCCCTTCGACCGTCATTGCAACGATCTTTCCTTGCTTCAGTTTGAACTGACGTTAGCCGCTGGATCGGACCATTAAGGTCGTCCTCGTCGGCCCTTACCTCGGCGCAATAGGCATTGTGGATTTCTTCCCAAGTGGTGGGAGGGTATTTCATGAGCCTGCTTAACAGCTTTCTGGTCGCTCTCGACCCACTCCTGTTTAACCCATTCTGGAAGGCTGCTACCGCCATCCCCTCTGACACATTTGGTAGGCTCATTCTCACCCTGTTGAATCGGGCTAGGAAGTCCCTGAGTCCCTCGTCGGGCGTCTGTCTAACGGCGAAAATGTCGTTTACCCTTGCTTCCGCCTTTTTAGCTCCTGCATGAGCGGTGACAAACTTGTCTGCCATTTCTTTGAATGTTGCTATTGATAGTGCTGGTAGTTGTGAGTACCAGGTTAGGGCTCCCCCTGTTAGGGTTTCTCCGAATTTTTTCAGCAGCACCAATGGTACTTGTTCTTTCGAAAGATCGCTGCCCTTTACGGCTGTGACGTAGTGGATGATATGATCTTCTGGGTCTGTAGTACCATCGTATATCTTCAGGTACGGTGGCATTTTGAAGGTTTTTGGAATGGCGTGGGAGGCTGCTTCTTCATTGTATGGTTGCTCGATAAATCGACCAACGTCCCGTTTTGGTAACAACTTTGGGGCGCCTGGTATTTTGTCGACCCTTTCTTGATGCTCCTTCATCTGGTCACGGAGCGCCTTATTCTCATTTTCCATTTCCTCCATCTTCCTTAGGATGGCTGCGGGTGCGTCATTATCTTTGTCAATAGTAGTATGAGTGTTACCTGTGTGGGGGGCATCTAGTTCGCCGACGATTGTTGCGACACCTATGTGTGCAATGTCTCCATTCTCCCTTTGAGCGGGTTTATCAAGTATGCTGTTCAGAGTGTTTGTCAGCCACTCTTCCAGTAGTCTTTTTACCGCCGGCGGCGTCTCTCCTGTTGTAGACGTGGAAGCTTCATTCTCGCACGAAGCGGTTACGCTTTCATGCGGGGGAGTTGAAGTGTCTCCCCTAGGTATAGTGTTTGGTGTCACGTTTTTGTTATCTTCCCTGTCGTCTTCGTTGATGGTGTTCAGGATGTTGGTTGTGACTCCTGCAATTGCTTTTAACCTTGCATCTCCTTTTCCTGCCATTGTTAGTTTATGCAAAGCTGGGAAGAGGTGACTATCCCTTTTTGTGATCTAGATGAAACTAAAATCTTAACTAAAGAAATCCCTACAGACGGCGCCAAATTGTTTGATCAAAGAATATCAAAACCTTTTTGATTAAATCGATTAATGATAATGATGAGGTCAATCTTAGTTAAGCACAATAAAATCTAGATCTAGCTATGGGAGAAGCAAGTAAGATGAATGATGTGACTAGTATGCTGGAATCGAATAAATGCTCATAAATGTGAAGACGTAAATGCACAATCAATCTGCATAGATACAATCGGTGTAGGGAAGGAATAAATATCAGATGATTGGGGAATCCTTGGATCTTTTCTATCTGATGTAATGATATATACTTTCTTCTTCTTGCAATCAATGAACCAGACTACTTTTGTATTCACTCTCAGATAATTCTTTTACAAAGTGTTCTTTTTGTCTTTTTTGTCTCTCCCTCCTTTCTCTACTGACTCTTCCTATTTATAAGGGACAATCCCCCATGAAACCCTATAAAAAGTACAACATGAAGAATATTCGAAAAGCATATCCTTGCTGTCCCCTACTAAGCTTACACCATCGTGGACGTGGTACATCAACTGTCCGCCCTTGGTCGGTGCCTTTAACCACGACGACCATCAGATGCTACACCACGATAGCCTCGTTCCTAGTCGTACTCGGTAGTGGTCGTGGTTGCCGAATTTGGACCTACACAATTAGTATATTTGTTATCCTACGTTTCAATTTACAAGTTTTAGTATACTTGCGTTCCACGTGTGTATAACGTCATTCAATTAAAATTATATACATTGACGTTATAAAATGCAATATTTGTATAAATAATGAAAGTAAATGTTATCACATTGACACAATAGTTGAATTCAATATTTTCTGACTATGCAAGATCACGAATTTAATTAAATTAATTGTATATTATTTTATAATTCTACATCTCTTATAATATGAGATACAAATATGTTAAATTGTGTATCACCCTATATATCTTTAGGATTACATTTTGCCTTCTATTATTTCATCCTCATTCCTTTAAGTCTGCATTTTAACCAATTTAATTCTTAAAATTATAACTGATTTTGTTTTATTTTTTGATTTATTTCATCGCCAATATCTTTCTATGATAAATAATTTTTATATTGTAAGATTGTGTAAACTTAAAAAAGTATTTTACCTATATGATGAATATGGAAAGAATAAAATTGGATTATTTTGTTAATTAATTAATTTAAATACTTAATTATTCTTTAAAAACATTAAAAAATAATTTAGAGGATTCAAATTCTTAATATTAGCTACCATATATTAAATATTTACTATAACAGTTTTATCTACACAAAAATCTATTTTCAAATGATAAATGCTCGAACTTTTGTACTTTATATTTGTCGAACAGTTAGTGTGAATGACTTTTATCAATCACTTTTTTTCCTCTTTCTCTTTGATATTATTAAATATTTTTGTAATTATATATTTGATTATGTTTTAAAATCTATAGTAATATTTATATATAAGAAAATTATTGATCGAGGAATAAAATTAATAGTCAGTGGACCAATCTCACGCAGACTACTCAGAGCATTTACAATTTAATTACGAATAGGGATAAACGACCCGAAAATGCTTCCTCTTTCTTTAATATTTTCTTTACATAATAATTCTCACCTAAAAATTTAACACAATTACACAATCTCTTTTTTGAGCTTATAAATAACGTTTAATTAGAGACAATTAATTCTAGGATTTATATAAGGTAAAATTTTAACGATTTTAAAGTTCTCAATATAAGAACTTCTCACTTAGTTCAAATACGGAAAGGTTAAATAAATAAAATTTGATTCAATTACAAACTCCAAAATATTAGCTAGGAGAATAATCAAATGACTAATTTGTTTAGTGTAAACTATATTTTAAAGGAGTAAAAAAAACGAACGATATTTCGTACTTTTAATATATTATAGATATAACACCATTAAAACTTGAAGAGCCAAATGAGTGAATCTATCAACATCATAGCAGTGGTATATAACTTTGAATCTAACGGCCGCCCAGTAACCTTTCAATTGGGGCCTGCAATGGTTGAACCTAGTCAACTAGACATACTATTTCCCAACCTTACTTCCCTTATGATTTTATATGCTTATTAAATATTTTAAATTGTTAATTATTGTAACTTCTAGTATTTTTAAATAGTTTTTAAAATTATTTCAAAAAACGTTTATTTTCAAGGTCACGATAAGAATTTAATTTTTCAAGCGGTGCCACTTTAATTAAAGAGTATACCATAGTAGGCTATTATCATTTTTGCAATGTACAAGATTAATATTATTATAATATTTATTTATAATATTGGTCTAATTGTATAAATATTTCACGAGATAAAATATAAACTAAAAAAAATACCTAGAGAGGAGTGGGTAGCGTGCAGAGAGAAAGCGCGTCTGGTGCTTTTGTATACATTGAGCGTCATTGGAGCATCTCAATGATAATGGCATTTCCATGAGATCATATTCCTTATGTCATTCCCATTTTTTTACAATATACCAACGGCTTTCATCAAAACAATCAGCTCAGCAGCGCACAGCACCAACGAGCTAAACGTGAAACAATATATTCCAACTAAAGAGAGACAAAGAGGAGAATATAAAGAGAAGTGAAAATCACCTTTAAGGTTTTGACGCCGCTAATGGAGGGGGAGAAGAAGAGGAAGAGGACAGTTAACGGCGGTGGAGATCGGAGAAGAGAAGCTGCAGTAGGTGGAAGTAACGCAGTATTCACGCCGCTGCCGCCGCCGCCTTCAGAGGCGGAGGTTGAGGAGTTCTTCGCGATCTTACGGAGGATGCACGTCGCCGTGAAGTATCTGGAGAAGAGTGATCCGATTCTACCTGCAAACATTAATCGCCACGGCAGTAGGTTAACGGCGATGGAGACTGATGCCGACGGTGTTGGACGGATTCCGTTACGGAGTGGTGGTTTGGAATTGGACCTCAACATGGAGCCAGAACCGGAGACTAACGGCGTTTAAGCTGATGTGTCAAGGAAGTAAGCACGTGGCCGGTTATAGTATCTGACGTACAGGTTAAGCTTTTCTAAGCATTCAAGCAAAATACTTGTTTTTCACTTTTTTAGTAATTGTTTTTTGTCAAAAGAAATTTATTTTTGAAGTAGAAGTAAAAATTACGAAACTCTGTACCATTGTGCAAGCGAAAATTGAAAGCTATAGAGCACACGATGCATATTTGATTTGGATATTTTATTTATCCAAAATTACTGTAGCAATTATACGATTTTCCTTTTAGTGTCAAAACATGTATGATTGCATCTAAAGGTGAATTGACAATTGTCGAATCAAGTGCAGTAATGCACCTAAGGGTGTGGCTAATGACCTAATGCGCGATGAAATGGGAGGAGAATTTCAATTTCATATTTTAGCGGAGGAAGCAAGAGTTTACTTGAAACATATGCTGGTTAAAGGTATTTGGCTGGGACGAAGCTATGTGTGGCCAAGGCGTATCAACTGAAAATCTTTCGTTGAAAAATTATATAGTATATATAATAAAATATTTACTCGATAGCGATCAAAAAACAGATTTTGAACATTCTTATTGAATTTTCTGGCTTCGCCACCGATAGAAAGTAACCTACCCGACCGTTATAAAAAAATAGTGAGTGCAGTGATATAGCCATGTTTGTCTTCTCTTTTCTTTCTTTTTACCCGCGGCAAAATTCACTGTATTTTAAGATGTCGATAATTGTCTCTTATGGGGATATCCGATGAAATACAATGGTAATTTTGTATTTTAAGATGTCGATAATTGTCTCTTATGGGGATATCCGATGAAATACAATGGTAATTTTGTATTTTAAGATGTCGATAATTGTCTCTTATGGGGATATCCGATGAAATACAATGGTAAAATTTGATTAGTTAGGATATGGCTCTGTACATCTTTACAAGATCAATTCGCACGAGTATTGAACACCTACTGCTTTTACAAAGGTAATTACAAGAGTTGTGAGTTCCTGTAGTTAATTTTTTTGCTAGTTTGGAGAGATTTTAAAGTTGCGCTATTTTGATAACGGCTTAGTCCAAGGAATTTGCAATAATATCCAAACCATTTGAAACAATTACGTATAAGATAGTTAAATATTGAGCAAAATATTAAGAAGCTCTAGGCCTATCAAGGACGCGGCCAAGAAAATGTCCCTAATGACAGTAGTGAAAATGACAATGACAATAACATCATTTTGCGCAGGATAAATTATATATGGTCATCTAATTTTTAGCTTATTGTATTAAAATAATAAAATTAATTTTATGATTTTACACCAGAGTGTGTAGCTAGTGGTAAATGAAATGGGTGGGGAATCATGAGATCTTAAGTTCTAATTTCAACGGAGTAAAACACTAGGTTATTTTTTTCCATTTATTTGCCTTATCTGATACATGTGCTGGTGGAAAATAGCAGTACTCGAGAGAATGTCGTACATGACAGATTATTCGAGGTACGCGCATATAAATCCAAACACCACCGTTATAAAAATACTAATTTTATAATTTTAATCAGATAAACTGAAGTTAGATAAGCATCCTGTAAAATTAACTCTACTAACAATTATTCAATCATTATATAGACAATTTAGACCCACGATTGACTCCACACTGCCGCTTGATCTTTAGCCTACTAGTCATGACTCAGACTGAGAGATCGAATTTTCATCTTTAAATTTGTCACCAAAGTCATGACATAATCCACTTGCCCTGTCTCCACTTGCCGTGTTTCAAGTTTAAATTTACTTTGCGTTTTGCAATTCTTTGTGTATTTTGTCTAGTATAATGATGTTGATCAATACAATTAATGTACATTTAAATTGAATAAATTCTAAATTTAAATTCGATGACTTCAATAGTTAAGTTTTTTCATTAAATTCATTATAAAATTTTAAAACTATATGTTTAAGAATTTAATATCTTTTAAAATTTTAATATCTTTTGATACGTATATATTTATGCTCTTTATAAAAAAAAATATTTAATTCAATTGAATCCATTAAATCAGATGCCATCGACCTCTACCTCTAGAATACAGCAAGATGATTTTGGATAAGCTGTTGCAAATGGAGTGCCTCAAAGTCAAAGAATTTAGGGACAGCGATGAAATATAGGTCCCTGGTCCATAAAAATATCAATCGGAGATAGTGACATACTTTATCTGATTTTCTCATTTATTGGGAAAAACATAAATGAGGTGAGTAATCTTATTGATCCTAAATGTGCAAGATTTTCAATCGAAAAGCAAAAACATAACTGATTCTGTTATAAATAGAATTGTATTTATGGTGAATGTCTATATTTAGAGACATTCTAGAGTTCATTACTTGATGGCTAAGTCACCCTCTCCCTATAAATAGAGGTTTTTATTCTCATTGTAATTCATCCCAAATCAATAAGAATTCTCTCTCTCTACTTTTCTCTGCAATATTGTTCTTCTACTTTTACTGTTTTATAACACGTTATCAGCACGAGACTCTAACCAATTAAGTAGAAGCTTTGGGATTGAGCACAATGATTGTCAATTGTTCCATGAACTTCCTTCATGATTAAATTTTGGATTTACGGTTAGTATTTTACTTTGTAATTCTCTTTTAAATTCTTGAAATTCTATAATTTGATTTTATACACAAGCAAAAACAACAAAGTTTGATTATAACTCTAATGGAGTTTGTAAGAAATTACACCCACCTGAAGTGGTAAAATTTCTATGCCTTGCCATGATCAAATTCATGTATGATTGTGGGCAAACTATTGAAAATTCGTCCCATCGAATTTGCTCCATTCTCATTCCCTTAAGAGAATGTGATAGCAATATGTGATAAGTCTGAAAGAAGACAAAATTATTACCGTGAAGGTATCAATGGATGTGGACGTGGCAATAGACGAAATTATAATCGTCATCATTGTGATAATGAGAATAATAAGGATTTTCAAAATAATCCTTCACTCTGTGAAAGTAATATTTGTCATCGATTTGACATGATGTTTTATTAAGCACATATAAATGATTATGGTCCATTCATGATGTGAATGTGACAACATCTGATTTATAAATACATTTTCATTCTTGGAAGAATATGAACGTGTTAGTGGTAGTGAATATACCACACTCACCTCTAGAAGGAGGTTTGAGATGATATAAGAAAATAATGTCATTATTATGGCATAAATGGTCATTGGTCATGTACTTATTGTACGCCAAAATATTGTGGCATTATGATTATTAAAAGACAAAGTAATGCAAGAAGCATATCTTGCATATAATTTTGACCATGACCATAATGGTATAACTTTCTCCTTAAAATAGATATTCACCATATGGATGTTGATGAATATGTGGTACCATAAAATTAATTGAGAACTCTGCAAGAGCCAATTATACTATTTTGGAGAAACACAATTGATTACCAATAAGGTATTGTGTTGTAGTAAGTCTCAAAGAAACTTATTGAGTTTCTAAAGTATTCACGAAAGCGGTTGGTCATACTGAGACTATAAATAAAGGAAAGATTTAATATTTTCTATTACTACAACTTGTAGCGGGATAATATGTATGTGAAAAACTACCCGCTTTATTCTCCAGTTTGTACTACACAAATAAAAGAATACCACACTAAAGTGGATGTTTATTGATATAAAAACCCATATCATAATAAACTTGGAGTTTATTGATAATTGCACACGTCATGGTGTAAACCTGAAGTTTATCGATATTGATAATCTATTCAGTTGGCATAATTGGTTTATCCATATCAATTTAAGTATGATGTGCAAAAATAAAAGAGAATTCACATGGGTAAATATTAAAGAACTAGAAAGTTCTTTACGAATTCTCTTATGTTGCATGTTCTCATTAATTAATAGACCAACTAAAATTGGGGTTGAATCCCATGAATGCTGGAAATATCAAAGGTGAATATGGGCCCATTCACCTGCCATGTATACCACATAAGATGCATCTATGAGATGGTTACATGTGCGATTATTATTAACCCGCAAGATGGTGTTTGCGAGGTAACTTACTCAATAATTTAATTTCAAGCATAATTTCCAGATTTTCTATTCAAGAAGTTCATCTTGATAAGTTGGTTTACATCACAGTTGGTTTAGCAAAATAATTTATTAAGTGCCTCTACTTAATAGCTAAACAATTGCTTATGAGAACAAAGTTATCTATATCAGTTTGATATACATTATATACCAAAGTATATTACATTCTCCCCTCACAAGTGGTTCAAGGTCAGGAACCAAATAATTCCATCTTGTTATTATTGATGTGCTGTGTATATTTTGATTAACACCATAACACACAAAGATGGGTTCTCAAAGTTGAGGAAACAAGTTAGTTTTTCTAACATGAGGGGGAGACATGATAAACAGTTGAGAAAAAGTTACGTGGAATGAATTATTATTTGTACATTTAGATCCTCGAATAAGATAATATGAACTTGAAGTTCATAAAAAGATAATTCATTTGCAATATATTGCAAAGCATGCCAGACGCATTTGCTGACCCAAAGAAAGTAACTATATTCTCATTGCAAATGCTCCTATTAAGTCCTAGAAAGACAAAGTCTATCTTATGCTTAAAGCGTTGAGACAAATCGGTTTCAAATAAACTTCTTGATAAAGAAGAGGAGCAAATGATCAAAATGATCATAATAAAGGAGGCAAGTGATCTAGAAGATCACATGACATAACACTTCATAAAATCTCATGAGAGATTCAGGTACCTGAATATATGAATGAAGAGATCTCTATGTTATGTTTTTATGGAAAATAAGGAGGTTGGAACCAATATAAAATGTTCGTCGACGACATCTATCATAACGCTAAGTATAGATGAGGATCTTAAGTTTGTCGAATATAGACACAAAAATATTGGCCAAATAGAAGAGACGCAATTCAAGTAGAATTGGTTTCATATGAAAGAAATATTATTTTGGACCTGCAGTTCAAACACTTGAAAATATAAAGTCAATGGTATGTGCAATCAGTTTTCGATATCTTATATGTCTAGCATGACATGAAAACTTGATATGCATCTAAAGTCTACTATATGGCTTATATGACTTAACTTATATGACAATCCATGAAGGATTTAAGTTGCTCGAATCATATACAATTCTTGATCTTGAAGTACCACTTCCTCAGTGCAATTTGTGCACAAATGTATCTTGCTATAACTATATGCATGATAATATGATAGCAAGAGTTTTCACCTCTATGTGAAGATATTGAACTGGCGATTACAACAAGATCATATGAAGAC